TCTTATCTGCGCGAAATTATGTAATTTTGAGTTTTTAAATTCTACGGAAAATTGTACATGTATGAAGTTCGGTAAAAATAGAGAATTTTTCCTTCACTGGAAACAAACAGTATCTCTACCTTTCTTTCTGCATAATTTATAGGCAGAATTTTTGAAGATAGTTCGTACAAACCTCTCACGGAGCTATTATAAATAATAAAGCTACCAGATCAGATGTAGATTAGATTAAATGCTTTTGTAACGATTCAACGAGTATTTGCCTACAATGTCGTGCAAATAGCGGGTCTTGAAAGATTGTTCCGGTTGAAGTTGCATACAATGTTGCTCTAACCTATGGTCAATTCTCCTATTGCTTATTGGAACAGGAGAAACAGAGTGTAACAGGAAGAAACATCGGGTAAGAGGGACAGATGAAAAGTGGATAACCAGAACAAGTAAATAGGGAGATATTGTTAGAAAGGCTGAGATAGATAATGTGGTAAATTCCAACAAACGAACGTTTGAAATAACCTAACCCATTTATATCTACGCTAACGTGAAATTTGTTAAAATCTAATCTAAAAAAATAAGATAAAAATCTGAAAAGATGCGGTAATAACAGTTGACACTTTTTTAAAAAATACGAGATCATAATTACTTCGAAAAAGATGCATCGTTTGAAAATTTGATTACCTAATTTGCAAGAATAATTCAGAAATCCTCGATTGAATTTTTCTCAAATAAAAAAAAAGTGTAACATATGAAAAATGGGCTGAAAAATATCACACGGCAAATGTGAAATTTTTCGCGGTTTCGAGCGAACCATCTTTCTACAGATTACCAAGACTCGTCGTTAACAAATTTGGTTACCAAATTTACAAGAATAATATAGAAACCTTCGATTAAATTTTTCTCAAATACCGAAAAATATCACGTATGTTACTTTTTAAATAACCAATTAAGTTAAATTAAAAAAGAAGAAAAAGGCAAATACTGAAAATTGTAACAGAAAGGACAAAAGGAATCTCTCCGCAATATTCCGCGTGCGATTAAAATGAAAACTGAGCGAAACCGAGGATCTCGCAGCATCAGAAACGCTCCCATGGCTGGAAGAATGGAAAACACGAACAGGAAACGGTGCGTCAAAGGCGGTCGCGAGAGTCAAGGAAATTAGCCTGAACAACCTCGTATAGGAAAGCTGCATAAGAGATTCCTCTGTACACACGGTATCCTCGTCGCGGCGGGAGAATCGTAAATTGATTGTGCCGGTGAACAGGTAGGCAAGACTTAGCGTAATACATTCGTCAGAAAACAAGAAGGTGAAATCGAGCGATCTCTATTATTTAGCCAAGTGAAAACCGAGACGAAGCCAGAGATCTATGTTCTCTCTCTCTCTCTCTCACTCTTTTACTCTTTTACTCCAGCTCTGTTTCTCTAGCGATTGTAAATCGTGGCCTATTATACGCGCGAACGCGTGCATCGGTCATCGGCGGAGAATATGAATTCGTCGAGGCGGCCACAACTGGATTACTCTCGAGAGAGAGAGAGATTACCGGGCGCGGGCCCCCGTTAGCACTTTTCGTTTTCTCCATTCTCACGGTCCGCGAAACGGATCAACCTGGTTCAAACCACACAAACAATGAAAGTTGTTTCTGCGTGTGTTCTCATGTGCGTATGTGTACGTGTGTAGAGGCGATGAAAAGCGTCACGTAACCCGAACGCGGTGTTTTCGAGCTACGATAATGGCGGCGCGCCTCTTGGTAGCGCGATTAACAAAAGCGATCTATTAAATGGACCATTGTGCTGTCCGCAGATGTGAATGACACCGGGCGGCGCGCCGCCACGGGCAAATTAAATTCTCCAACGATGAGATTCGCGGTGAGCTGATTGAAATAATGCCGGCTAAGGATAACGCGTTCGCGGTGGTTTTGTCTATGCACGGATCGTTGCGGGTTTCCAGGGGCAGGGCTTTTGAAATAGATGAAAGATTATATAGGCGAAACTGATATGGTTTTGCGAATGTACTTCTCTGCAATCCGGTTTTGATGCTTTGGAGGTTAGGTTTGAGTTAGGGCGGAGAATCTGTTTGAACTAGGAGAGTTGGATTAACCCTCTACTGTCGAGACACCGTTTTTGGAACGTAAAGCCCGATATCGAGTCTGCGAAACTCCTCAACCTCCAGTTAGTTTATACTTAATAAAGAACATTTCTGACAACTTTTCTTACCGATTTACCTTTATTACACGTTTTCCTAACGAACATTATAGAATAAAGTGGTTGGTTGTATTAATTTCATTTTAATATAATAACGTCGAGTTCTAAATAGAATGGAAGAGAACGAAAAAGGTAGAATCACCGGAGTCTCTGAGTCTCCGCCTCGACAGTAGAGGGTTAATATAGGTACCTGGTAAATTTAGATGAAAGGTGGAGGATTTTTACGAATACGTTATCGAGTATAACTACTATAATTATTGTTGCAGCTTGAAATTATTTATTTGAGGTACTCTGTTTGATCATTAACCCTTTCAAGACACCATCAATTTAAGGCACTGATAAAAATTCTTTATGTGTTTCAAATATAGAAATTTATAAATCTTTGTAAATCTAACATATCTTTTATAAATATAAATTTATGAAAAATTTGACAAATTCACTTTTATGGTAGAAAAATATAATAGAAAAAAATACGTACCATCCGATGGTACTTAGAGTATTTAGATTATTCAATCGTATTTAGAGCCTCGAAAGAGTTAAAAGATCGATGACAGTTAAAAAGGAGAAGACGGTTCACTATCCCAAACTCCCCGAAACACGAAGGAAAAGAAACACTAACGAGACAAGAATGCACGAAATACAGATCTCGACGAGACTCCGCGTGGTACTCCTCTGAACTCGACTACACATCCCAGCCACCAAAGTTGAACAACGCATCTTAAGTACTAACTTACAGCCTCGCGAGTACTCGGTACTCCCCATAAACCCACCCCGGAGATACGAAAAACGAGGATTCCGACAGAAAGGCGAAGAGGTACGGGAATAAAAATGCGGAGACGTGAATCTTGTTGAAAATCTTGTCGTTGCCCCGGCCACGGACTCTCTCGGTATGCATAGCTTAAGGGGGAACTGGAACTCGCAGTAAGGAGTCTAGATAATCGCGTTTATACAGCGGTCCGCATTCCGAGAATTCGATACTCCACGGGGGAAGAAGTTGTTCTCTCTCTCTCTCTCTCTCTCTCTCTCTCTCTCTCTCTCTCTCTTTCTTGGTTCTCCCGTTTTCACGATCGTTCAATTTGTACTCAGCGGCGAGCAATGATCGCTCTCAAGAGTAGAGAGTACCTGGGGGACCGTGAAAAAGAAACCACGCGGCAATCTCCCGGCAATCTCTGTTTCACGTGATTGAAATGCGACTTTATTACAATTTGTCGACAGTGCCCGTGTGTAGGCACAGTTTCACGTCGAGTTGTAGACTGATTCATGATTATAATATCGTGATTTTGAAATGTGCGTAAATACGTCTCGTCGTGGATATTTTGTGTGTCGGTGAAGTGTAGGTGTGTATTGTGTTGAACGTGAAATAGGGTGTTTCTGGCTGTGTATTGTTATTCATGTCGGAAAGGATGAAAATTAAACGTGTGACTGTATTACGAAAGGAGTGGTTCGAATTAATGGTGTAGCGAATTGAGAAAATGTGAATTGTTTCGGAGTATATGATATCGTACGATATCGGTATACTTAGGTACTCCGTGTTAGAACGATGAAAAACGATCTGGCGATAGAGCTCCGTGTCTTATGTAGCATTAGACGGATCAAAATTACTCAACATCCGTTGAGCAACACGGTTGAAGGGTGCAAGTTCTTAGAAGTCGATGCTCGTCGAATGTGATAGAGATAGGCTGGGAAATTGATCTACTAATTTCCGTGGTAAAAACGGTAACGACGCCGCGGTGTTTCGAAACGGCTGAATTTAAATGCTTAAAATTTTAATCTCGAATGGCTTGAATTTTATTAGCTAAATTCAAATTGAAAAATTTGAATATTGAAATTTGAGTAGCTTGAATCTGATTGGCTGAATTTAAATCTTGAATAATTTCAATTTCATTGGCTGAATTCAGATCTTGAATAATTTCAATTTCATTGGCTAAATTCAAATTTAAACATTTCAATATTTAAATTTGAGTAGCTTGAATTTGATTGGCTGAATTTAAATTTTAGAATTTGAATATTTAAATTGCGAAAGCTTGAATTCGACTGGCTCAAGTTTTAAACCTTGAATGGTTTAAATTCGACTGGCAGAATTTAGATACAAACATTCGAGCACTTCGAATTTACAGAGTAAATAATTAAAAAAATTTCACAATCTTTAATAATCACACTTCATCTCCAAGAAACACTATGCCACGTTCGGAATTTCCATCTAATTACATCATCGTTGATTCTCAGCAGTCGTAAAAATTTCTAATTTCTGGTCGTACTCGTCAATCTCGAAGAATTTCAAACCTGAGTGGATTTACGAACAAAAGTAACCACCTCGAAGTTGTTAGCCTTAATTACAAAAAAGTCACGTCGTACACATTCGCCACGTGGAAAGAAAAAAACGCAACTTTAATACAACAGATTGGCAATAACGAATATTAAAAAGGAAGAAGCATCGAACGAGACTAAACGACGTCCAGACATATTTTCCCCAAACGAACGGTTATACAGTCCAAGTCGTTAAAACGTAATCTCGCATTACCACGGGGAAAAAGGCGAAGGTTCGTTCGTCTGAAGGCTAGAGAGCAGCCAGAAACACAAGGTAATAAAGTAATCAGCCGATCCAAGGCAGGGCAAAAAGCTGCACCGGGCAAGCTGTTAAGTCGGCGTATATACTTTGAGGAATATTGCTACAAAGTACGCTGTGCTCGGAGCTGAAACAACGAGAGGAAAGCCGACGGGTGCTTCGATTTTCGAGCGGCAAGAACGCAGAAACGCTACCGAAATGAGAGTGAAGAGATGAAAAGAAAGGGAAAAGAAAGACTTACCACTGGTTGAGCTGTACTCGCCGATGTATCGCCTCGTCAAATACCGCACCACTACGGCTGAAAGGAAAAAGAACAACGAGATGTTAAAGGTGCGAAATATTTTTAACATGAGAATTACAAAATCGGCCGAAAGAAATTTTCTATTTTGTTTTTTAAGGTGAAACGAGTAAATTAGACGCAGATTTTTTACTTAACCCTTTATGGATTTTTTTAATGAAATTTTCTACTTTCTTTTTTAAAGGTGAAATGATTCAATTAGATGCAAAGTTTTAACTTAACCGTTTATGGAATCTTTTTATGAAATTTTCTATTCTTTTCTTAAGGTGAAATGATTCAATTAGATGCAAAGTTTTGACTTAACCCTTTCGAATATTTTTTCCAAGAATGTGTGACTTATTCAGTGATCTGGTCACGAAAGGGTTAAACGGAACGAATGAATTACTTTTGAAATGCCTTAAAATTGTAATTTTTTTTTTAAATTTCATTTCATTCCTTCATTTTCGTAATTTCTTTTTTCAAGTAAAATTTAAGGCGAGGTAAGTTACTTTTAGAGTAATTTAAATACATTTCAGCTAGAGTTTGCGTGGATATCAGGCTAAATGAAAGTGCCGCTGGTTCGTTTCTTAATTTTAACAGAAACAGGTTTATGTAAGTGAAAAGCGATTAATCATCCGCGCAATTTCTCTGTTTTACCGTATCGCGTCTGCTGTACCTTTTTTTCTTTACTCGGGAGCTTTTCAATTTCATACGTGTAAAATTGGAAAAGTAAGGAATAATTTTCGAGACATTGAGTGATAGGACTTTCAGCCTGCTACTTGTGATACATAACACAACTAAGTAACTGCTATGTAATTAATCTGGTACATGAGTTTTATACAAGCTGTATTAAAATTAGTTATTAAATTTCATCGTTTCACTAAAGAACAGGGGGAAAAAATGTAATACTATTTAAAAATATATTCAGAAACATGAAATATAATGAATAAATAACATACATAGTTTTCAGTTAACTTTAAACACAGTTTTATCTAATCATTCGTCTTATACAATTTATTTTCGTACATAGTAATTGAATTTAAGAGTTTGCAAGAAACCTGATCTCAGTGTCCGAGCTAATAAAGTTTGCTAGAATCTGATTCAAAAATACCTGTCGCGTATACTTATGTCAATAATTAACGCACTTTTTCTGTCCGAGCAACTTAATTGACGTCCATAAATTTGACAAGTGTAGTATCTCAGACGTTAGAAAGTAACCTGTTCTCTCGTGCGTTGTTCGCACGATCCTTCGTATTACGCTTATTTTATCAAACACTGACGAAACAGCGTAGAAAATGTAAATTCGCAGAATCTCACGATCGAAGAATTTCTATTCCTTAGATGTAACAACCCAAAATTCCTAATTTAAAAAAAGGGATCTTCAATCACACTAATTTAATAAAAAATTAATTCTTAAAAAGTAAAAATAAAAATTCTCAGAATCTTTATTTCTTAGATATAATAATCTAAAATCTGAGATACCACAAAAAGGATCCCCAATGCCACTAATTTAATAAAAAATTAATTCTTAAAAAGCAAAAATTAAAATTCTCAGAATCTCTATTTCTCAGATATAATACCCTAAAAGTCCTAATTAAAAAGAAATCCTCAATTACACAAATCTGATAAAAAAAAATTGATCTCAAGCTTATCTCTTCAAAGCTTCACCGCTCGTCAATGCCACTAAAAAAATTCATTCCCCAAAAAAAAAAAAAAAACAACATTAAACGAAGCGAATTTACCGCAAGAAAAAGACCGAAAAACAAGGAAGACCTGTATAATCGAAGCAACCAAGGTTGGATCACGCGCGAAGTTCAAGTTCCCAAGCGTAACGCCTTCGATTTCACCGAAATCCAATTAGACGTTGGCCGGCGTTGTCCGCGCGAAATTTACAATTCCACCTCCTTATCCACCTAGACGACCGGTGGGCGCGTTTTACCCGCGCGTGGTGTCTCGCCTCGATAGAGGCTGTAAATAATTTGCTCGCTGGCCGGGAGTTTCCCCCGCGTGTTGTCGATCCAGCCCAGAAGGGGGGAATTAATTAGAAGGACACGTAGGGGATCGATATTCGTATTCGCTGTTGGTGGCTTAATTGAATTTTCGTCGATTCTCCGCGGGAAGTGTGCGGGGACGTGCACACACACACGCGTGCAGGCGAAAATAGCCAATATTGAAACGAGGATCGTACGTCATTAGCCAGGATAAAAGAGTATTCTCTTAGCCCCAGCACCACCACCACACCTCCTGTCGACAGCTCAGGCAGAAAACACGCTCTCTTCGTGTTCCGTTCCGTTCCGTTTGAACCCTGCAATTTCGCGCGAACCGTGTGGATCGTGCGGCCGTCCTATCGATCCGTAATTACGAGCTAGCACCTCGAAAAATAATCCTTACGAAGGAGCTCTGATCGAGCTGAAAGAAGAAGAAGATTCGAGGATACTGGAACAGAGGAGGGGACGAAAAAAAAGGAGCTTTTTCTGTTGTTGCCTGGCAATTTCAGAGGGTTTCGTAGAAAAATTTCGCACAGACCCCCGCAGCGCTCTATTTTCGAGCTGCTCTCTTTTCTCAGGTCTGCACGATTTCGCAAAAATAACGAAGTATTAACGGTGATTATTCGCGGCTGGTTTTTGGAAGAGGGAATCGGAAATAGACTCTGTTTGCGCGTGAAACTCGAGCAGGAATTCCATTCGCGGTTTGAGACGATTTTTGAGTTCGGGTTGAACCTGGATTTCTGTTAACTTTGTGATTTTTTGAATAGGGGGTGTACAGTTTTAATCTAGAAATGCGAATTATATTTTGTATGAGAAATGGTTCAGAGAAGAATTGAATAGTTTCGAGAGGAACACAGTTTGGTGTAATTAGTTTTTCTGAAGATGACACACATTTCCTTAAATGGAATTATGATTTTTAATGCATTAGTCAATGCAGCTCCTTATTTCCTACAAAAAATATTAAAATTCTTTTTTCGGTGCGTACATTGAACAACAATATCAAACTTTCCCTCACTGATCAAGACACTTATGAAGCGTGCAAAGCAATTTTTTAAATAACTTTGTAATTATTTCTTTAATGCTGTATTTGGAGATAAAGATGCCTCGCTGGAGAATTGAATTTAGCTCGCAGACTCAGCCAAACCAAAAAAGTCGAAAAGATTTATAATCAATATCACAGGTACCAAAATTAACCTACTCGTCAAGTGTCAATACAGAAAATACAGAGGTGTCTAGAGTTCAAAAGGAAAATCCTCGCTAATTCATCCAGCGATCCATTAGAAATCCCATCAACTTCGCGAAGTGCCAAAATTAGCCTGCTCGTTAAATGCCAATACAGAAAATTACTATTACTCCCCGAACTCAATGGAGGTATCCAGATTTCGAGAAGAAAATCCTCGCTTATCGATCCAGCGATCCATTAGAAATCCCATCAGCTTCTTGAAACCAGTTCACCAAGCGAAGTGAGCCAGTCTGAGATCTCGACTTCGCGAATCAACGGTTCGCGGGAACACGATGCTCGCCTCGCGGTGTGCTCTAGGTCTCTCTTTCCTCGCGGAGCAGCACGCATGGAACCGCGGCGCGGTGCGGCGACGACAGATTTATAAACGGTGTATATACGAGACCTCGACGAGGCACGGGACCGGCACGGATCTATGTACTCAATAAGTCTTCGAGGGTCGAACCGAGAGGATACGTACGTCGGCGACATGTTAAAGTTCTCTCGTACGTTTCGCGAAGTAACGAAGAAATTTATGAAGCGGAGTGTCCCTCCGGCTCGTACGCACACACGTACCTTCCTTGCGCTCGTCTAAACGCATTCATAACGTCTCCACACGGCGGACGAGAGTGTACTCGCGCATACCTTTTAATGACATTTCCTGTACATCACGCGGCCATTAATTATCGTTATTACGTATTTCACGGGATTTTTCAAGTTTCTCACCGGGTAAACGCGCGAAAGGAACAGAAAACACGACGATCGAAACGAACTTCCTTCCTACACACGCTTTTAACCCTTTCTACAGGTTGCGTGGCAGTGGTGGCCAAACTTTGTCGCGATTGTCGGTTGTCAGAAACTTTTCGGAGATGCTTGAATACAGAAATATTTGAAAATTATAGTTTACCGATCTCTGTTTAAGATTTAATCGGTGTGTATAGCATAAAAAATTACAGAACCCTATTTTGTTTTTAATTTTATTAAAAGACACCTGATCTCGTGGAATCTCAGAATTTTGTCATAGGACCCTTGTACAATTTTTTAAAGCTCGCGGAACTCCCTTTGCGTTAAATTGGATTAAAAGACACCATACCTCGGGGAACACCAGAATTTGATTACAGAACCATTATACAATTTTTCAAAAATTGTGGAACCTCATTTCCATTAAATTTAATTG